CATATGTTTATACAGAAATGTGCTTGTTTTCTATGGTTCAGAACCATCCAATGTAACTTGAAATTAAAGTTTATTATCAAATTATTACATGTCTGTGGGTTTATATGTAAATGTTACTGACAGATTGGTAATATTTAGCCTTAGAGGTTTGGAGATAAAGTATTCAGGGCATTTCAGTTGTCTCTGCAGTTCTGTGTGTAATGGTATTTAATTTAGCAGTTATGCCAGGGGCTTACTGGTTTAAAAAAAATCTTATTCATTTTGGCTTTAAGTATATTATGGTATTGTTTTTTTGTAAATGAAAGTTATACCTGCATGCAACAAACCTTAAAACCCTAAAATCTTTTATAAATCAGCATTAAGCACAGCCGACACACTGTAAATAACTGCAGCATTTTTGTAATGAAACAATGCTCCGACTGATAAATAATGAGTATCATTATGTTCATACTAGGCTTCTGATGTTCTACATCAGGCTTCTGTGAGTGATTATGCTTGAATGCACTTCATCTTCAAGACAAATGTGATTGTCTATAAAAACACTGTTTTGGTGAAGCCTTTTGCATTTTACTTGTTTTGCATTTTAATGGAAACAGTTTTGTGAAACTCACATATCAACATTATTCGTATTTTATATATTCCTATCTACATTATCTTTCCAGAAACAAAGCGTCTTTGAATAAAATAAAAAAGTGACGTTTTGCAGGTTTTATTCTGTGAGTGCCCCCTTTTCATAAATTATTAGAATTACTACTAATACATTTTTTAAATAAATATATATATATATATATATATATATATTCACCATGGCTTCACCAAGTAGACCTATCTATTATCTTGTTAAACATAGTCATTTATTTAGTAAATTATAAGGTAATTCATTCATACCTTCCAATTTGTCACATTTCAACATTTAATTCAAATTTTCAACGTTTGAATTTAAACTAAAATCATATTTCATTGTCTTTTAAATTATAATTTGAGCAGTATATTCTAAGGTAACATACAGATAAGAAAAAGTTTACTGTAGCATGTTTATATTCTTCTTCCATTATTATGTTTTAATTTGATGTACAAATTGCGAAGACCAAAATTAACTTGCAATAAAAACGCTTTTACAAGCACTCAAAAAATGAATAGAGGGTCAAAGTATAGGCTACTAAATTAACGCAATCAGTAATGGCATGACCAATTTAGGCCTATTATATTCTAAGTACATCTTTACTATTAAACCGACGAAGGCCAGTCTATATCATTAGGAAAACTTAAGACAACGGGAATACATTTTAAAAAGGAATATGAAATGTTTGAAACATTAATTTATGTTTGAACGAATATCGGATTCGTTGATTTCATCAGTTCATTATTTATCAGTTTTCATTTGGAGGGAATGGTAAGTGCGCATTCCATTCCACCGCAAGTCCATAACGGGATTTCCTCCTCTGCCTCTTGAGCGGCTATCATTACACTAGCAGAGCCAAAACAAGTCGGGAGGAGAAGGCATGAATACAATGACTGCTGAAATCATAAAAGACATCTCCCAGCCCGACTCACCTGTCTCCTCAGCACCAGAAAACGGACAGCTGTTGTTCATCCGAAGCGTCGCGTCCAGGAGGGACACGCAGACCACCAGCGGCAGCGCCAACCTCGAGGAGGGCAGCTCCCAGCCCCTGGTCTCCTCCTCAGCCACAGCTCAGCCTCAGTCTTACACCATGACATCGGGCGAATTCATGCAGTCCACCCCTCTGTTCGTGCAGAGGTCTAATAAGAACCTGTTTTATAAGATCCTGTGTTTCCTCGTGCTCGTTCTCCAAGGAGGCACGCTGGATTTCTACCTCATCATCTTCACGGATCTCTACTGGTGCTCGTGGATAGCCACGGATCTGGTGGTCATATCGGGATGGGCGATCTTCTTCATGAAAAACGCCAGGAGTAAGAGAGAACGAGCTTGTGGTTTCCATCAGAAGAGCTCCATCTTTGGATGCAACCTCGGGGAGTTCACCTTTGCGTACCTGGCATGGCTCATCTACGTGATCGCGTCCACCCCAAAAGTGGTGCTCGTTCTGGAAACGTCCATCCTGGATCTGATCGCCCTGAAGGTGCCATTTGGCATCACCGGGTTTAAAATAACCATGCTGCTGTGCGCGCCTTTGCTTTACTGCCTCATCAACTCCATCATTGAAGATCCCAACGGCGCCACGCGCTTTCACTCCCAAGGCTGCTTCATGAGCACCTGCTTAGACATCCTGGACAGCTTCACGCTGGTGGAACTGCTCCTTAAAAACGAAATCCCCAACATATACCTTAGGTACACGGTTATATCCGCGTATTTCATCGCACTGGGCGTTCCAGTTGTTTGGCTTTACGAGTTGACGGCCTCAGAGATGAACTGTCGCTGGATATGGGCGAGGTTCTTCACCGGCGTGCTGCTCAACGCACCGCTCTTGGTGGTCAGATGTTTCCTCGTCTTTGTTTACAAAACGCCCATATCGGTTTTCATGTTCAAGAACATCTTCTTCTTGGGGTGTAAGTGCCTGGAGCTGGTCGAACAGTGCATGTCCTCAAGAGGTGTCCGGAGGTTTGGACGTGGACGCGGGGGCAACCCAGCCCAGTTCTCCCACTGCGTTTCCGAAAACGACATGTGTCCTCAAGGCTATGTGAACACGCTGGCTGTCAACACTCAGCCGTAGATGCTCATTACTAGGGACTGGCGTTGACCAGAGGCCACGTACTACACAGTGTGCATCAGCCCTTTTAAGGGGAGGTACTACAGATGCTAACATTCCTTTCCTTTTAATCAAAATACTGATAAAAACACTCAAACCAATTAATAAAATGTATTGTGACGATACTTTGTAAAAGTACGGATTATGAGGAGCGTTAAAAATCGACAAAACGTAGTGTAATTTTTAGTGCTTTACACACTTAAAAATAAAGGTGCTTAAAGGGGTCCTATTCATTCCAATACACTACACTAGTACACCCCCAAAACAAAATCAAGACTTTGTAAAAGAGCATAATAGGACCCCTTTAAAAGGTTTTTCACAGCGATGCCATAGAAGAACCATTTTTGGTTCCATCCAGTCAAAGAACCACCTCTTTCTTACCTTTTTATAATCTGAAGAACCTTCTTTCGCCACAAAGAACCTTTTGTGAAACAGAAAGGTGCTTCAGATGTTAAAGGTTCTTTATGGAACCATTTAGACAAACAATGTTCTCCTATGGCATCACCTTTATTTTTAAGTGTATTTTAGAATTATAAAAAAAATGTTTGTTTATAACGTCTTAACAGTTTGCTAATTGGGGCGAAAATTACTGACAGAAATGCAGCGTGCAAAATTAGCTATCATGTAGGCTAATTAGATTTTCACAGGTGTGCATAATAGAACTAGTGAACTCCACAAAATAATGTGTATATGTGATTAACTCAGTGGCTGCTAATTGTCAGACTTGTTTGCAAAAGGTTGTTCATTTAGCAAATTAATAAAACATCTACAAAACTCGGACAATTACCAACAAAAGCAACATTAGGATTCTGTTCAAAACATGAAAAATTAGGTTTATTCGCTGTTGGCCTAAATCCAAAATATCATTTGTGTCAGACATGCCCGAAGTAGCTGATTTTACATTATGTACTTGGTGTATGTGATATAAAATCATAATAATTCAATGTTGATGACAATATTAGCCAAATCTAATCAAAATATTGGCCTAGATGTATGCCTGTGGCACCTCTCCTTATGAACTCCCTGTCGTTCTCCTCTACTCTCAACAGGTGCTACAACCAAACCACTCAATGTGCCAATGAAAAACATTCCCACCTGTGACCTCTGCAGTATATACTTAATGTATTGGGATGTGACTGTCAACCAGTGCTTATATGGCGATTCGAGAATCTTTGATTTGCACTTGTTTTGTGAGGCACTTTAATTCAGTGTGAGGACTATTCAACGGAGAAGTTATAAGTGCAATGTTGTATCATTTAAAAATGTCCTTAACTGACAGTAGGCTAATGTAGACACATGTTTATAGTGTTTTCAGACACCTTGTCAAGAGATGTTCCTAAATGCACTTGTCAAAAGTGTAAATATGCCTTGTGACTTGTTAGGCTTGGTGTACACTTCAAATTGTGAATGTGATGTAGCCCTTTCCTATTTGAAATACTTTGTCAGTGGCAATGGTACTTAGGAATGGGAAATTGCTGAACGGTGTATGATACGGATTCATAATGTACCTTGATGTAATAATAGGCTACTTTAAGCATAGAATCTATGAGGATAACTGTAATCCATCTTTAATGACCAAACTCCATTGCTGGTCCCAACCAGCCATATTACCATCATCAGTTTGTACAAGACTACCTCTCTTTACAGAACTTCATGGTTGAAATCATAAACCAGTCAGTTTACCTGCTCAATTCCAGATGGTGTATTATTCATGCCAATAAATAAGGTATGAGTATCACAATTAATAACATTTTGACCAACCATGAATATTGTTATAGTGCTGACAGACAGATTGCGAATGGACATCATCCATCAATACTACACGCAGTGCATCCATGTCTAAATCTAAATATGTGTATTTCCAAGCTCATTAGTTACACTAATATTTACACCAGGAACTTGAACAAATATGTCAAAGCTTAATGTCCATGTTTCTCACTCCAATTCTCCACCTTAAAAGGACAGTTCATCTAAAATGGACAATTCGAACATCATTTATGCACTCGTGTCATTTCAAACCTGAATGACTTGCTTTCTTCTGTACAACACATTTTAAAGAATGTTTTTGTGCATATAATGAAAGTCAGTGGGGTCCAAACAATGTTGGTTTGGACCCCATTGACCTTCATTGTAAGGACAAAAACTTTTTTCAAAATATCTTCTGAAGAAATAAATGCATCCAGGTTTAGAGTGACATCAGTGTGAATGATATTCATTTTTCGGTGAGCTGTCACTAACTGTGAGAAGCAAGCTTGTCCTGTCACTTTTAGTTTTAAAACAGAGTATTATATATGCTAGTCCAACATGTAATTACTAACAAATGTGCATCCTATTCTAACATATTATTACTCTTGTGCTTTGAGGATTGGGGTACAGGGTGAGCTAAACGTGTTAAATATGCAGGCCGAAAGTGCATTATGGGATTTTTGTGCCTCATTGCGCAGTATTTAACCTGACAAATATATACCACTGCATACTACGCATGTTTCTTAAACTACAGGTTTTAGTGTATGTACGTAACCTTTTTGATAAGGAAAGCGACTTCCAACCCCACCTCTCTCTATTTATCCACATAAATGTTTTACAGAGAATTTTCTTACAAGGGCTTTAGTTTGCAATTTAAGTTATGTTTACATAAGACATTATTTGCACTGCAACAGCTGCAAGGGTCTGGAAGCATCCTGGTTAAATTGGTTAAAAATTATTTGTAGTCCAAAGTTGGATGAAATTTGATGCAAGCAAAGTGATTGTTTAACTAAATTAGAGTAAAAAGCACACGACAGAAGATTACCAAAGAATGCTGCTTTATAAATTTAGAAATTTACTTATACAATATTATATACAAACTTCCATAGATGGTTATAGCTGTTAAACTGGAATGAACAATTAAAAAAATAGTGCGATACAACAAAACATTTCATATGAGCAATTAATATGAAAAAACTATACAAATGTAACATTGCAAGCCCAACCAAATTACTTAAGACTTGTGTTCAGTAGCTAAACGTAAGCTTAAAATCATGTGATGTGCTGTTCTATATCAAGCTGTTTCACAAGGTACTTGTTCTGCTCCACAGTAAAAGTGAACTGATCACACTCTTGTGTTTACGTCTAATTATTTATGATAAATATATAACATGTAATCACTTTTAAAACAGCTGATTATTGAACTCGTCCATCTAGTCTGTTTCTGTTGACACAAATAGTTTGAATGTTTTAGGAGTGACGACCAACCACAGACTGTTCAAGAACATCCTGCCACGGTGCTACAGCACACTGCAAATGAAAAAACAGCCAAAAGACACACATAAAATTCAGATCTCCATAGGCTTGGTGCAGAAACCAGAAGAGATCGGGCTGTTCAAGAAGAGGTCCATTTGTAACTTGGCCAGAGAGGAAAGGTCTTGTTGAAACTTGGGGTCCTCCCTCACTGTGGAATACCTGGAACCATATCCCTGATCGGACCCTCGTGATGGTCTCATCTCAGAAGCACCCTCCATCTCACTTTCCTCCATCTCCACTGGCTGGGACATATCCATCTCCTGATACAGATGGAAGCTGTCCTCCATTGATGGTGGAGGTGCTATTAAAAAGCACTTTCTGCTGTCCGTCAGACAGTTATCTGACGGTTCCCCCATTGGAAACGCAAAAGGAGGATGTGTGGTTTCCACTGGTCCTGGTTCATAATGGAGACAAGGGTACATTTGTGGGTCCATTGGTGACCCAATACCAGTCACGCTGGGTAATTCAAGAGGACGTTCCATTGCTGGAATAAAGGAAAGTACTTCGCTGTGCTCTGGCTGGACTCTTGGATTAATAATCATCACGGACGACTCTTCAGGGTTCTCTTGAATTTGGGGAATTACAGCACAGATGCTTTGGGACTCTTGATTGCTGTCTACCTCCTTCACAAGAATCGGGAGTCCGATGTTTAGCACGGGTGTTAACTCATATATCGGCTGCATGGGCATCTCAAGAAGTCGATCAGCTTCCCCTCTCACTTCCTCCTCGCTGGTCACACACTCTTTCTCAAACCAGTCTGGATTCTTCATTTGGTGCGCCTGGAATGCTTCGATTGCGTTCCTCAAGGCTTCGCCCGAGGGGCAGTTGAAGTACTCGTCCTTTCCGATACCCTCGATACAGTGCTTCACTCCCTGCTGATACTTCTCCACATCGAGGATACGGAAATAGAGCTCCTCGAAATGCTTCATCAGCTTATATTTGACCGCAATGTCAAACATAGACGGCACATCGCCTTCGCTGCTTACGTCGTCAAAGTAAGCCACCAAATACTTCCCGTAGGAAGCCGGACGCTGCATATCAGGTGTAATCAGCTGAAGGGCGAGAGTCAGCATATCACCGACCGGAGAGCACACGTCTTCCCGGAGGAGGATGCGAGGCTCTCCACACATCGCCCCCCACTTGGCTTGCACTCCTCGGGAACAAAGGACCAAGATCTTGTTGGACGACTGCTCAATCTGTCGCTTTTTTTCTTCAAGCCACTGTAGACGGCCAATGGTGCCAAGCCAAGTCGTGTCAAGTAGGTCTAGCACAACCTCAATGCCGCATTTGGCCCGCAGGAAGGCGCAAAGCTTCAGGACTATGTCTGTGTAAAGGGGATGATCTCTGGAGTAGATGATTAATACAGATCGAGGACCGGATGAAACTGGCGGTTCTAGAGGTGCTTCTTCCTTTGGCTTTTCTTCACCTGAAATAAAATCATTTCAAAAGTTAGAAGCAGGGATATTCCTTGAAAATGATTATTTACTGCATATTAGATTATTATTAGATTAGAGTATTATTTCAGTCCTAGCACTGTCTGGGTGGCTAACCACAGGAAGTTACTCTTGAAAGACATCACTGCCACTGTTGTGTAACACGATTAAAATCAGTCTTTGAAGATAAAAATACCCATCTTAAATGTCACTGCTTACCTTTCAGGGGTTTTCTGCAGCGCAAATAAATAGCACAAATACCAACGGCACAAATTAAGAGACACAATCCAACACAAATGATCCAGAGTGCTGAGTTGTTCTCAGGAGGGCTTGTTGGTACTGTGGAACATATATAAAAGGAGTAAAGTTGCATTATGCTTTTTACATTCATTTTCACTAATTCAAAAGGTGAAGCTGTTTCCATACACACCAGGACCACATATGTAAAAATTGTGATTTTTTCGACGACAGTCGTTGCCACACTTCCGGAAAAATGGCTGGATCTAAAAAGGAAAAAAAAGCACTATTAAATCAACACACTTAATATATAAGAATTGTGTTATCTGTAATATTATTTTGTGCGGTAATGTGTTTCTTTAAGCCTTCACACCTGAACATCAAAATTACAGCATGTACGTGGCCAGTTCTCCAGGTCATATTTCACATTTAGTAATGGCTTGCTCTCCTAAACACACCAAAAAACACCCTTTGAAAACAGTTCTGCGCAGTTTTATGTCATATTATCCAGCCATTTGGATATATTTAAATAGACAAACAGATACAATGTCTTACATTATAAAGAGTCTTCATTTGGGTGTCCCTGTTGCATGTCAGAAAAACATTGTATTTTTCTACGTTCTCTCCAGGATTAAATGCAACATACAGAGTATCCTTGCCATTCACATCTGTGGCCCTTCCTACAGTAATATTGGGCCTCCATGTATCCCCTAAGAGAAAAATCAAACCAAGTGCAGAAGTGCATGCATACTTTAATACTTAACTTAAACACTCAGGGTTTCTAGGTATCACCTACGTATCTGATTATGGTAAACCAGTAAAACCAGTAAATAAGCTCTTCTCTCACCTCTTTCAAAACAGATTTTGGTCGTTTGCATCAAAGGATCGTCACAACCTATGGATACAGATCGAAACTGAGGTATCATTCTGAATATAAATGGTCGTGTGGAAATATTTGAACAAAGAATTTTGTTTAATTTGTCACTTACCTGGAACATTAACCTTTCTGTAGATATTGTAACTCGTGTGTTGTAAATTCGGCTTGGGAAGGCTGGAGACGGTCACTACATATGTGCTGTCTGGATCTACTACAACTTTATCCAAAGAAAAAGACCACTAGAATAAAATAGAACATACATTAGTATTTGTGAAAATAAAAATAATACAAATACAAACAAATAAATCAGTCTTGCCTTTGTGCCGGCACTATTTCTCATGGACTTAAAAGCATTGAGGAACTTGTAATGAACACACAGATGTTCGTTGGTGGATGACTTCATCACACCAAGCTCTGTTCCTTTCAAATGAATTATGCTTCCTGCGGAAAAAAAAAGAAAGTATTATTTAACTTTGATGACTACAATCTGGTCCCAACTGGGAGATAAATGCTTATTGAAATACAAAATTAAAATAAAGAGTCCTTTTATCCCACCATTAAATATGCCACTGTTTTAGTATTGGTGCACACATTTAGTAATGTAATTTCTTCATCATGAATTCCATCATCATTTTTAATACAGTAAAATAGAGGTATAAATGTATAGATTAAAATTGTCCATTAAAAGTGATCCCCCCCCCCAGAAACTGTCCAAGTAAATGGATTTTTACATAATGTAATAATGTAACAATATCAGGCTAATCTGAAAATGCATAAGCAACCCACCATCATCCTTTGCTTTCCATTCTGCCACAATCACTGGTTCCAAATCACCTTTCATATTGCTTCTTACATCAACATACACTGTTAAATCATCTGGCCCACTAGGAGTGAAATTTGAAGGAATGAGCCATTCTTTATACATGCAATTATCTGTGAGGAAGAATAATGAAACCTCAGGCAAAATATAGCCCACAATAATAATAATAATAATAAAAGAATACTGAAGAAAAAAGAAAGCAGGACTTACTGAACTCGGCTGTGCACTGTACTTTCGAGAGAGAGAGAGAGAGAGAGAGAGAGAGAGAGAGAGAGGACGAAATATAACCCTCATGCAAAACTTAAACCCCCCAAAAGGGCCACATATCAGTGTCGAAATAAACACATTTAACATATATAAATAAATATTTAACACTTTTTTGGTATCTAATGGACTTTATGTGTTATCTTACCTCTTGTGTACAGTTCAGAGAGCGCCCATCATCCACAAGTCTGAGATTTAGTACTACAGGTATGAAGGTGAAAAACACAGCACCTCTCAGGTACAAGAACTTCATGATTCGCCTTTTAACCTACACACACCTCACTAAAGCTGAATGAATACTCGTTTTAAAACAAGTTTTTAATAGACGACTAAGATCGACAACGACAAAGCGTACGGTAAACAAGGTGGCGTAGGTGCAGGAAACAGCCGACCTAAAAAAGCTTCCTGGAATGATTGTAATATGCAAAGCAGTGACTCACACATAGTGTACTTCGAAAACGCTGTCTGATTGTGTCGCGTCGCGTCGCGTCGCGTCATGGCTGAAGATGCGAGATTATGCAACGCCAAGGGACCAAGCATAATATGGCAGGTGATGAGTGCCAACACGACTTCATACTAGAAAAAGAAAGGTTAAAAAAAATGAATGGATTAATGGATGAATGAATGTTAAAACCCCTTGTATAAAAGTAAAGGACCACATTTGTATTAAACTGCGGTACCTTTTTATTTTGTTTGCATAATTTAAACGGTGCATTTCCAAAATTTCTCTTTCCACAGGAGGGTGCTACTTCCCCATTGTATGTAGGCCTGTTTATCAATCTGTTACAAATCGTTTGTTTCTAGTTTTCGTATGTAAATATGAGCACATACAATTATAGATATTAGTAGCCTATGATAATCAGTCCTGTGATAATATAGTAAGGAAACAATATTTATTTGTATGGAAATATACATAGAACTCTAAACAACTCTTGCTTACCTATTATGCCAAAATCCTTTTAAAATATACTTAAAAAAATATATATATATATTTTTTTGTTAAATATAAATGCCCCATATTTCTAAAAGGATGCACAGCTATATTATGCAAGCACAGTTAACATTCACTCATATGCTTTTTGTGTATGCATATGTTTCATTCAAACACGTTTTAACCTATTGTTCCCAAAACTCTTTAAATATTTTACACTAAACCATAATTCTTCTTCTTTTTAGACCTCAAACCTGCTGTGCTGAAGAGAAATGAAACAGAGCAGATGAAGATAGAGTGTCTGTTCAGGTGATCTGTAACAGTCACAGTGTCAGTCTCTGTACTGCATACTGCACTAATGAACCAGACCCACAGTACAGATCAGCCAGTTTATGACAGTCTCAAAATCCTCAGATTAACAGTGGCATCACAGAATGAGGGCTACCCACACCTAGCCCAGGTGCGCACACTCCTGTTTTCAAGTACTGGCTTGAGATTAGAGGAATCTAGGGTGCTAACATGTTGCATTTTGGGATTTGAAGGGAATTATTTGGATACTTCCATGCAGGTTGGACAAAAGCTTTGACTTTAATTTAAAAAAAAGACTGTCTTTCATCTCATCTATCATTCCGTCACCTTAGAAGTTACAATCAAACATTTGCAATACTATTAAAAAGGGCTAGAAGCATCTTTAGTCTAAACTTGTGTAACAAGTTTATACAGTATGTAGGCTACCATATTTTGAAAATATATACTCAATAATCTTATCAGAATACCAACAAGTAATCTGAGACTTTCTCTAGGTTCAGTGTTTTACAGTCATTTTATTTTGTCGGCTAGGGATGCATTGTCAGAAATTGCACCTTTAAAAGCAATCATGTCACATTCATCGCTTCTCTGTGATGAGATCAACTGTTATAGTAAATATATGGAAGAACGGTGAACTGTGGCTGAATATTAAAGAAAACAATAAAACGCCTGATTAGGGCTGACAACTCTGTGCTTTGACTGAATGAGATATATAAACAGCATGGCGTATATGCCAAGTTGGTCTGAAAATGGAGCAAAGAAATTTCACACACTGGCCAAATCCTTTCAGTCTTATGAGTTTGAAACAAGATTTTTTTTTGTTGATTGTAGTCGGGGTCAAAGACAATTCGGAAAATTAAACCGCCAGAAAATTGAATCCTACCAATGACTCACTTTTTTTTCCAGCAGTATGTGTCAAAAAGGTCTTAACCGTAACCACGAGAGTAGTGCTTTGGTCCTGACACACTTATCCACAATTAAACCAGGACAGCTGAGAACACTTGTCAATGCTAAGCTGTAAACCACAAAAACTAAATCCAAGAAAGCTCCACAATAATGGCAAATATATTTCTAGCTCAGGCCATTATCTTAAAAATAAAGGTTCCAATAGGGGGTCTTCATAGTGATACCACTGAAGAACTATTTTAGGTTCTCAAAAGAACCTTTAAGTGAATAGTTCTTTAAATAACCATTTTTTTCTTAGTCTAAAGAACATTTGGTAACACTTTATTTCGATAGTCCACTTTAGACATTCTATTAACAGTAAGTAACTTTGCAACTACATGTCAACTAGCAGTTAGTAGAGTGTCTGCTTAATATCTTCTAACACTTTCTTTGTCAACATTCTACTAACCCTAAACCTACCCTAACAGTCTACTCTGAGAGTTAGTAGACATGTAGTTGCAAATGAATGAGAATTAGTTGACATGTAGTTACAAAGTTACTTATAGTTAGTAGAATGTCTAAAGTGGACTATCGAAAATAAAGTGTAACCGAACATTTTATTAATCAAAAGAACCCTTTTCCACTATGGAGATCATTTCAGTACAATGGAGGTTCCATGTTAAAAGTTTGTCATTGGAATCATCAATGCCAGCGAAGAACCTTTATTTTTAAGAGTAGCCTATGCTGAACTAATACATTGCACAAAGATGCTAACATAGTGGAGGTGAATCTTCTGAAATAGACAAGAATAGGCCCAGGAACAACATTAAAGTAGGCAAATACTGTAGACATTACCATCTCCTTTTGATAATATCATTTTCTTCAGATGTGTCGGCCACTGATTTCTAGACTTATGTTCCACTTAAACGTTTTACAGACAATGAAACGTGGAAGGTGTCCGAATCTGAGAAGCTGTGATTGTTCGGTAATGCCAGAAGTGCACTTAGGATGTCACTGGCACTCAGACAAAATGGAAGTTGGCCATACGCGTTCTTCCTTAAGTGCCCTTAAGTGTTCGAAACACTGCCAACAGTGATTTTACCTCTCAGAAGTGTAGATGAAGTATGAAAAATGCAGCTATGATCACTTTTAAATGAACATGCCATGATTTCATTTATCAAAGATAAGGCTTATCATACGTGATAGATATGATAAATACTAGGAAGAGCTTATTAATAACATAACCTAAGCCAGTAGTTTATCTGTGTCTGTGTGATAGCACAGTACACAGTACAGTGTTACTGTAAGTAAGTACTATTTTTTTCTTAGTGGAATCTTTAGGATGATATACAGGTAAAATTATAAAATAGTTTCATCTTTTAATTAACAAAATTTAATTTCTACATTTTTATTTATTTGGTGATTAGCTGTGTCATAATTGTAGCCTACATTATTAATGTTAACACAATAATGTTTATCTTTAGCGTAAAAGGGGATGGAATGATGAGGGCTATTATGTCAATTATTTGTTCTCTTGTGCAAGGAAGGACGAAAATTAGTGACTTTTCAGGAACAAACTAAGGCTTTTAGGGTCTCCAGATTTCTATCAGTGGGCCTACATTCCATTATGCAATCATGCAGGCATATTTCACATATTTGTTTAATCCAAACAAATGAAGAATATTTATCAAATTATCTGATTCAAGTTCTTCAATAAAACTCAAAACATAAAACTGTAGTTATGTTTTTTTTTTTACATAAATGTGAAATAGTGCATGCCAAAATAACACTTTCTATGAAACGCTCAGGTTCAATGCCATTATTATCTCATCCATTTGTTTGCTTGCTCATTTTAGCCTGGAATGGAACAGAATATTATCTTGATGGGTGCGAGTGGGTCGCTATAATCTCTGTACTGTTGCCTCCCCCCGCTGCGCTCTGCTCAGGGCCCGGAGAAGAATGGAGTCGCACAAGGTCTCCTGAAAGTAAACTTTGTGTCCTGAAGGAGACTTGGCAGGGATGGCAGAATTGGATAGGACAGCTCACACTTTAGCTCCAATAACTCTTTGGCCCCTTCAACACACTACTTACATAACCAGCTTACATTGGTTTACCTAAATGAAGTTATTTAGAAATCAAAATGCACCTCGACCTCAACAAAGACCTAGTTTCTCCACCAACGGCATTCAATGAAGTCTCAGCTCAAATCTACAGACTTCCTCTTTTTATGCTGTTATACTCTGCTACATTCCCAGCATACCTCAGCTGGGTTAAACCCACCATAGCAGCCGGGCGAGAGCCACTGCTCCTTATCTCAGCACACATACCTGCAGTCTGGATGTGTGTGTGGCTGTGGCAGTATGCTCCAGTTGCAGCTGGGTCTGAATGACTGAGGGCTATCTGTGCCATCTCTGCGCTCGCTTCCCGTCAGTGTAGTTTGAAACGCAGCTGGTGCCAAATCTTACCTTTAAACCTGAGTGGCATAAGATGTATAAGAGTTTTATGGTGTCTGTAAATAAAATCAGGTCTGTTAAGATTTCAAGTCAAAATGAAGATGCATTGTAGAACTATGTTTTAGTTTTTATAAGAATATTTAGAAACAATTCAGGCCATTCAACTGGGTCAATACTCACTTTTAACTGCTAGTGGGTCATGAAAAATAGGTCATAGATTTAGATTTTGTCTGTTCATGAGCAACAAGGGGGAAAAGCAAATAAAAAATAGATGTTTTAAAAATCATTTTTATATTTAAAATACATTAATCATATTTTTATGAATTAAATGAATATTTTATGCACTACACACACACACACACACACACACACGTATGTATATATATGCTTTAATGCGCGCACACACACACAAAAATGGTATATCAATATGAAAAGGGGAAGAGAAAAACTTTCCTTTTTTGTTGTTGTTGATGTGTGTTTAATCAAATTCTATGATATTTTGTCACAAAGTCACAAATATCCTCCACTGTGAAGTCAAAAGTGACACACACACAAAACTTGAAAGACATACCATAATTTTATGTTTTTAAGAGCTTTCCAAAAATAGGCACTGGTAAAACAATCTATTCTACTGTAATATAATGAATTTTAAGAAATATTTATGTTGCTTGCAAAAATCAGTTAATAATCATTCATAAATTAATGAAAATTACATCACTGCTAATTTTAGTTGGCCGTGCCAAGCCAAACTTTGACCTCTCGTGTCTGACAAAGTCTCACCTGCTTTTAGGTATAGTTTAGTAGATGAACAACCACCTAAACCAGTTTAACACTGACACTA